GCTGTGGTGGTGGGGGCTGTCTGGTTTGGCACAAGGAGGTTGTTTGGCCCCCACAGAGCTCCAACAATATGGGCAGATTTGGTTGGACAAAAGATCCGGAGCTTTGAGTTGCTGAGCACGTCTCTGGCACAGGGGCACCCATGTACTGGGGATGCTGGGATGTTCGACTGGGAGATGCTGAAGCAGAGCTGCAACAGTTTAAACGTGGAACGTGTACAACAGGTAGCAGAAGGTTCAAATGAAGGTTCTGACTCATGATAGTGAGAATGGATTCATGGTGATACATGGAACCTGAAAAGTCAAATCGGAGCATATGTTTGAAGATAAAACATGGTGGGTTTCCAAGATGATGTCATGCTTCTTTGTTTGAGCCTCTGAGATGTTTACCTCAATTGTTTGGCTGATTCTGTGGAAGGATTTCTTTAAAGTGCCTCAATTTCTGCTTGTATTTATTTAGGGAATGCATTAAAAAAGAAAGCCATTATAATATAATTTTATCAGACACAATTTTTTATTTAGAATTTTTTTCTTATTCCAAGAGTTCAGACATATAGATTACACTAAGCTAGTTTGTATTCTCATGCATCACCTGCAGAACCTTGGAGAAGATTTCAATGTTTTTTGATGCAACTTAAGCTACAATTTGAAAATCCTGCTGCAGAGGGAGAAGCGTTCATTGATAAAGCTAATTCATCAGAAGTGGGCAAGCAAACATGTGAACAAAGGCAACCCCATGATCAGTTCTGACCAAGCTGAAGGGTACTGCTTCAGAAGACAAAAAAGGCTTTAGATTGAATGTTTTAAGATGAATCATTTTTGAGATTTAAAAAAATCTGATGATGGCAACCAAAAAAACATGGAGGAAACAAAGCCTCATGTTTTCGGCTGCAGTGTTGAGGGTTGAAATGTCGGCCTGTTTGTATTTATCCACAGCAATTAGAAAAGGAATGACCTAGATACTGATCTGGGATGTTTTACAGTAAAACCTTAAATATTTGTATTTATTTTGTGATTACTCATCAAAATAACACACTAAACCTACAAAATATTACATGGAAATTGGAATACATCTGCAGGAAAATATAATTATATGAATTTAGCTTACAATCAAACAAACACATAAGCCTAACATGTAAACAAAGCTGTCGTCTTTCCCAATTTAGAAAGATTTCTGCCTTTTTTATTGCCGTCGTTTCATTCCCACCTCCACTTTTCGGTTTGTTTTTCCTCCTTCTGCTCTACGTCCTTTAAATGTCAGTCAGCAGCAGAGCTGGCTCGCTAAGCAGGTTTTTAGGTTTGCTGTAGACCGTGTGGGTTGGAAACGTATCCGTCTGTTTGTTCTATGCACAAAATCAGAGCTCCAAATATCAGCAAAACAAACACTTGTAGAAAAAGAAACAAAAATGGATGCAAAACATTGGATATAAAAAAGGATAGGTTCAAATTCTATTGCCAAAACTCTTGTACTTGGATTATATATACATAAATATATGTGTGTGTGGAGTATAGCATATTTTATGTGCCATTGCATAGTAACATATTGACCCTATAGAATTATCTTTCAGATGAAAGCAGCCTTTGCTGTGTTACACATTCCTTCATATTAGACAGCGTCACTCATGTAAATACTGTTGGTTTTGCAGCTTGCTGAGAGTAAAGCATTCATATTTTTTACCAGGTCCATCTTGATTGTTTGTTCAGCGTTGTGCTGCCAGAAATGCTGTCATAGAAGTGCTCTGCAGTTGCAACAAATCTGCTAAATATATTCTTAGCGATTTATTAGGAAGCAGAGTGGTTCTTAACAGAAAGCATTTCAACACACATCCTGATCCAAGAAAGCTCTTCCTCTGTGTTATTTAGATTTTTACTTTAACTAAAGTATTGATGCAAGTTTACTATTTTACCTGTAATAAATCTAATAGAAATTAGACTTTTTTCCCCCCCTTTTCAATTACATTTGCACATCTAGACTGTTTAAAATATCCTAATATTTTGTTATTCAAATATGCATATGAACAGTTTTTTGTCTAAATATGTTTTGCGTAACGTTGAAATTTCTGAAATTTCGGTAAGTGCAAAATAATAAAATATGCAATTTATTTTGTTGTTTTTGTATTAAAATGCCAGTGAATTTCAAGCCAGAACTTGTAATGTTTTTGTGTCTCTGTAGAGATAAAAGAGACAAAAAACCCCAGAAGAATAATCTGACCAATACAGGAACTTAAAAGGCCTATTTTTTTTTTTTTTTTTTGGTAACTATGACCTTCTATGCTAAAAAACAAATTAGATTCTGCTCACATAACATGTAGTGTGTAAGTTTAATATGCTGCTTCTTATAATGATTGAGTGTGAATGTTAAACAGAGGCAGCCTGAGATTATGTGGGGCCCTGAGAGGAAATTGGTTCGGACCCCCAAACAAAGCTCACACTTTCTATTAAAAAGATAACAGTGAAATTAAATTGGGTAACATTTTATGTTTTGGACTTATTGATTTGTTAAAACAGTTCTGTCAAGAGTATAAATGTGGGGTTGTAAAGGTTTACATTTGTTGTTTTTTTTGTTGTTGTTTCATTTTAGATTTTGGGCTAGGACAACTAATCTGGATAATCGTGAATAATCAATCAATGAAATAACTTGCAGCTAATTTGGTAACCATATAATGATAACCTAGTGTAATGGTACACAGACTCTAAAAAAAACCCCGCAAAAAAAAGCCTTTTCCATTTAAGATTTAAAAAAAAAAAATCTTAATGTGGGCATTCACACATATAAAAAATAAATGTGTAATAAAGTTTTTGGGTAATCCACTGAAAATATCTCTATTTAAGCTAATGGTTTTTATTGAGAAAATAATAGATAGATTATTCAATTACTAAAACATTTGATAGCTGCCACCTTATTTAGATTTAATATGCAGAGCAATTTCAGCAAAGACACAAAAGGCAAACAAGATGAAACTAGAAGCATTTACTCTCAATTTAAACTCTATCATTCTTTGTGTATTTATTCACTAACAACATTCAGTAATTTATGGAGCGATTTTATTTTTCAACAACAATATTTTTAATTTTCTATTCCTAAAACCTTTGGTATTTTAATTTTTTTTCATTTCTAGTAAAGTCATTGAGAAATTAAAAGTTTTGATGGTGGTCAAGTGGTCTTGGGTGCCCCCTTTTGGCCTGGAGGTCAAACAGCTCTGTTCTGCTTAGCATTGGGCTGAGTCTTATGTCAAAGATAATTTTTTTTTTAATTTACTAAATTGAAAAATATGATGTCAGATTATTCAAGCATTTGATTCTTTTTCAATTCAATTCAGTTTACTTCTATAAATCACAACACTTTCCAGTTCACCAGATCAAAATTGATTCAAAGTTTTCTATCTAAGGAAAACCAGTTGATTGCATCAAGTCATTGACTCGATGCAATCCTTTTATCTTATAAATATTTATATTTTATGTTGAAAAAATACCAAAGAAGTTTAAAGTTAATATTATGCTCTTTATGCTTAACTCTGCAGACTAGAACTCAGAAATAGACTTAAAAGTTGGCATTTAGGGCAGCTTCCATTTTGCAATATAAAGCTGTTAACCCTGTACTTTAAATCAGTTAACATCCAATAAATCTTTTTTGTAGAAACCCAGAAGAAGAGCATTAGAGATACGGGCCTTTGCAGAGTTAACAGCATGGAAGAGAGGGGGGGTGGGTGCCATGCCCTGCAGGAATGGCCTGATGGGTGCTAATGAACTTGGGATGTGCCACCACAATAGGGAGCGGCCCCTGGTGCACCTCCGTGCCCGGGTTCCCATGCAGCCCGTGGAAGAGGGTTGATGACGGGAGGAGAAATGATGAGGAGCGAGGAGGGGAGGGGTCGCCTGGATGGTGCACAGCCCATTGTGCCCCCCTCCTTAGCCCATTAGCCAGCATCTACCCCGCTTTCCCAAGGGGAGCTCAGGAGCTGCCCGCCCGCTCCAGCTCTGTAACCAGGCAGGGGCGAGAGGTGGGGAGCGCAGAAACAGTAGCCGTATTTAGAGTTTGATCTCCAGGAAAGCGTCCAAAATTTGAAGAGAAAGAAAAGTGGAGAAAAAGGGACCCCCCCCCCCCATAACAAACCCAAGGCTGACAAAGTTGTCTCTTTGGCAGTCGCGCCTCCTATTGAAGCAGTAATTTATTCAAAGGAGATTTTTATACCCGCGATCTGATTATTATGATAATCAAGTGACCCAGACCCCCTTTCTTGGCTCTTGTCTGCGGACCCCGGGCCCGGCGGTGACAGTAAAAGCTGATTTGCACGGTCTTCACCCCCTTGGTCACATTCCTGGACTCCTACGTATTAAAGACGCGGACAAAAAGGACGCTGGATGTGCGCACTTATCCAGGCGCAGGAAGCCGCAGGCCGGAGCGTCTGACGGGGGGGCTTTGTGTCAAACAAATACTGGTAACCATACAAGATTACACGAAAGTTTTTTATAATCCCACATGGTCCAAAACAAGGCTCTAAATCACAGGCTGGATGGGCTGAGAAGAAGTCCCAAATAGGCTCACAATAAGGCGGCAGGGATGGTCAACTGGGCGGCTTAATGCGGAATTATGGGAATTAATTAATATTCAAGCCCTGATATTTAAACTTTTATATTTAAAAATCTTAATAATTCACGATTATCTTGTTTTATTCTGCAAAGCGGCTCCAAATGAGAAAAAAGGCTATTTTAATTTAACAATTAGTCTAAATGATTCTTTTTACTTTAGATGCTTATTCACGCTTGCATTCATTTTTTTCAGAGGGTGGAGACAAGAAAAAAAAAATGCATGGTGTCATAAAGGGGAGGGCCCTCCGTCTGTGCTGCTATATGTTTTTAGAGCTGGAATCTTTAAAGTGCATAACGCATCTGACGATCTGAGGAATGGCGATTGCGCGGCGCGCTGCGAACATGGAGAGGGGGCGGGAGGGAGGGGAGTTCAAGGCGAGATCCACCTCCGACATGAAATAATAGGGACGACAATAAAACAGGGGGGAAAACCCGTTGGAGAGAAGCTGAATGGATGGAGCCGGAGAGACGTCACTGGCAGCCGCAGCCATGAAGACCGTGCGGTCCAGCCTCCGGAGAATCACTTCGCCTCCATCCTCCGAGACGCTCGCCGCTCGATCTGGGAGAGGAGCGCATCCCGCGACGATCCGCGATCAGCGACGTGAGTATGATTTAAAATCCCTGATTTCTAAAAGGTGGAAAGATCTGCAGGATATCCGTTAAAATGAAGGAGTAGAGCGCGTTTGCATCAGCGCAGCGTTTTACGTGGCCATGGTCCTCCTCACAGCATGCATCTCCACACTGGATGTAACATCAGACGAATATAAGCGCAGATCACCGGATTTAAATACATCTGTTTTGTTTTCTTTCATCTCCTAAACTCTGATGGATGAAATTTAAGAAGTGATGATTAATAGGATCAGAGAGCCGCAGCCAGTTGCAAGTTGGCAACATATTGCTTTGTCCATATGATGCTCTATATTCAAGGTTTGGGGTTTAGGACACAAATTCATAATTTAATAGCAAATGAAATGTGGCACATGAGCTCTAAAAAGTCAGCTTAGCGCACAGAAATGCCCCAAGGGTTAGGAGAAAAGGATGACATATAATAACTTCTAATTGGAACTAGTGTTGTTTTCTGCTTTTTATTGTAACTTATTTTCTTTCCACAGCCTTTTGCACAAAAAAATTCTGCGCCAACATGCAGTTGCAGCTGTGATTTGGTTTATCAGACATTTAAAAGCTTAACAGGGTCACTTCAGTAAAAAATAAAAAAGCTTTTCCAATCAAATTGAACCCAAATAAACGCAGCAGACTTTTAAATATTTCGCAAAAAGGTCAACAATATGGTATCTTTCTTTTTACACCAAGCCCTGCGTGGACACTGTGCGTCCATGTGGCACAGATGTGAGGATTTATCAGCAGAAAGACCTGCAGTGCATGCGTAATAAGACAAAGTGGCGGCGTTCATGTTCATAGTTGGTGGATAAAGAACTCACAAGGCCAAATATTCAGAGGACACGTGTGCTCCGAGGACAGGCCTGTGCTGAGGACACGTGTGCGCGCCAGGTCTCTGAACCCTGAACGCATATTCAAAGAATCAGAAGGAAACGTTTTCAGCATAGCCGCAATTATAAATGCACAGGAGAGAAGATAAACCTGACAGCAAAACGAGGCAGTTAATAAAAATACTAAAATCCAAATTTATTTTGATAATAAAGTGAAGATTTTAGAAGAAGCACATGCACTGTTAAAAATATCATCATACACACAAACAAAATTTCGCCGGATGTAAGAAATCTGGTGTTGCACCTCCTACTGTGCACCATAGAGAACCCCACGGCAGCGTCTTTAATGAGCTGCATTAATAAACGAGTAGTGGTTTGTTTTAAAGGTCCAGCTTTGAGATTTTAGACCAAACGACATAATATAACAGTATCTGCAAAAAAATAAATAAAAAATAAATAAATATTTTTTTATAAGCTAAGCTTTTTGGTCCAAAGCCATTCTGCAGCTTACATGTTTCATAATAATCAGATTATCATTTTACCTTCATCACCTACATTCTGCTAATTAAAAGGAGGAAATAAGGAGGAAATAATGGCCATGGTGTGTAATTTTAGATATAGTAAGTTTATCATAAGCTTCAGTTTAAAATGAGTCAGTTTTACACTTATTAAAATGTTTTAAAGAGTTCAAATTTCTCAGGTAGAAATATAACCAATTATGCTTGATAAAGCAGAAATAAAAAAAGGCAGATAACTTATTTCTTTCCATCAAATGTATTTTATTTTATTTTAGACACACGGGTCACTTTCACACACTCCTAAAGTTTAGTGCATAGAAATTAAAAGTGTGCGTCAACAGTTTGTTTCCTTAACTCAGCCTCTATTCTGCCTTTATTTCTGTTTAACTATGGATGCATCTCGTGCATAAAATGATTTATAACGAGAGTAAAACCTTAACTGTAATTGCAGCACACACTCTGAGAATTTAGCTCTGCATAATTCAGAATAAATCGCTTGGCTTTAAGCAGATGATAACCAGAGAGGCTTCATAATAGGAACTCATTTCCCGCTAATCAGCTTCCCATTTTGTATGTTTGCATTTTCCCCAATTAGATGAGCTGAATTTGGTGATGTCACACGCGTCCTGGCCAATGGCAATGCTTGATGAGGTTTGTTTAAACGATAGAAAGCAGGAAGCTTTGCCTCCATTGATGCCTTCATTTAGTACATAAATAGCGTAATAATTAAATATTTTTTAGTTAGAATTATAAAATTTTTTAATTAGCACACTTTATTCCTCCATTTACAAAAATATTTTTGATTTTGCAAAAAAAAAAAATAATAATAATAATAAACCCATTAAATTGTATGAAATCCTTCAGAAATAGTGTTTATATATGTACGGGATGGGGATTCAAAACTAATAAAATTAAATTTAAAATTTCACAAAATTTCTTCACATATTAAATATAGTTTTAAACTGCTAAAAATAATATAATTATCAAAACAAAAAAATGATGGTAATTTGGGTAGAAGATTTTAAATAATCTATAAATATTGTAACATTTTGAAATTTTAATTGTGCTTCTTGGAAACCTTAAATCATTGCAAAATCTGTGAAGGTTTTTTGCAGTAAATTTGTGAGTGCAACATGATTGGATGTACTGTATTTCTGAACGACATACGTGTGGCTCAGTGTGGCTGTCTAATTCTGTGTAATTATGTGCTAAAAAATGTGAAAGTGCTCATCGTGTGTGCACGTCTGTAAATGTGTGTGTGTCATCAAGCTGCATTCAGTGACGTAAGACATAATTTTACTTGTACAAACACCTTGCTCTCTCCTTTTGCATGGAAATAAAGCACCTAAAAAGAAAATAAGTCTCACCAAAAGGCAAGAAATAAAACATTGTTAAAAAAGGCCATGTGCATTTAGACAGCAGCAGAACAAAAGCTGTGTTTGGAAAACTGCAGAAAAATGGAATGGGCATGTAGGCATGTGTGATAATTACTCCTATTGACAGCCAGGTTCTAAATCTTGGGGTTTGTTTAATTGTTGGAAAGAATCATTTGTGCCTCACGCTCCTCTCTCTTCTATATGTCCATCTCTTTCTCCTCTCATGTAGACAGAGAGCTCTAGTTGGAGGTGCCGTTTTGTGGGGAGGAGCCTGCAACGGCAGAGATCCGGGCACACAGAGCAGCTTTAATTAGATGGGGCCTCGTGCCATGTGCCATCACGGCATGTGTGAAAATGAATGTGTGCCTGTGTGTTTTGCAGCTTTGTCTAGATGTGCTGATTTTTTTAGCATGTAAAAAATGTTTAGCATTTACGTTCAAAAGAACCTTTCTCTATTAATGTTTGCTTTCTAAATACAAAGCAAACAGCATGTTTCTCTATTCTACATGAGCTGTTGTGATGGCGCCCATGCACCTTAAGCCTTAACGTCCTCCCCTAGGCACCATCCTCGTGCATTGGCCAACTGGTAGTTTGGCATCAGATAATGTAAATGAAGACAAACCAGTTTCTTTTGTAGTAAAACAGCCAGGATCTTCTTTTAATTTAAAAATGCATTTCAGTCATTGCGGGGGGCGGCGTTTGAAGCCATCACTCTCCCATAGAGCCACTCAGTGGGCACTGCAGATTGACTGTAGGGATGGGCGCCAGACTGGAGAAAGGAAAAGTTGCTCCATTGCCAAAATGAACTGGTTCAACAACTGGTGCAACTGTTTTTGAATTGGTGCTCTTGCTGATTGTTTGATGTAAAGCCTTTTTGATTGACCCAAAAGCCAATCAAAGGGTTCGGGGGACAAAAGGAGGTTCCCAATTGGTTGGGATGGTTTAAGGCGGGATAGAGAGAACATGGTGACATCATAAAACGAGAGGTCAGAACATTAAAAAGAGGCTGACGACCAAAAGATAGTTAGAAGACTTCAAGGCAGCAGACTAACAGTTCTGTTTTATATAGTTATAAATTGTTGATGTCTGGAATAATTTTTACTTACGTTTAAGTCAGTTTGTTATTATAGAAATAATCTTTTTAAGAATTATTATTTTTTTTATTTACTAACAGTCTTCCTGTCTGTCTTTAGGTCAGAAATTGGCCGATGTTTCTTGGCCTGGGGTTTAAGAGGATGGGTAGCCTTAGGGGTTGATTGTTATCTTTGGTTATCTAGCTGTATGAGTGATGTACATTCTTCATAAAGCTAGATAACCGAAAGTAACAAGAATCCCATTACACTCCTGGAAAGGCATCAAGACCCAAAGTGACTCCGCTCTGCGAAAACAAAAAAAGATAAACAAGAAGAAACGTAACTTGATGAAAAAAAGGACATTTTTTTTCTTAAAGGAGGTGAATCGTTCATCAAATAAAGGTAAGAATCAAGAAGTTCTTTTGTTCTACATTGAAGCGATGATATTATTTTGTCTAATGATGGATTTATTGTTACATTTTTCATGAGTTTTGCCTTCGTAAACTAAAATAAGCAAAATATTGCATGTTATAGTCTTTACTTTTCTCTGTTTGCAGTGATTTACACAAGTAAGGTTGGTACAACAGAATCACTTGTAATCTAATAAGACCCATGATCCTTGTGTGCTGGGCTGTATGCAGGGGCTTAGCCTCGGTATCACATGGCTTTTGAGTAAAAGACCAACAAAGATTTACCAAAGCCAGAACACTCCAAAAATCACCTGTTTCTTTTTCCTTTCCTTTTTTTTTTAGTCTGTTCATTTGGCCCCATGGACTTTCAACTTTATTGTTTTCTTCTTTGGTATAAAGTGACCCTTTAAAATTGTTACCCTTTAATATCTTTGGAGCTACATATGGTGCTATGAATTATACATATGGTCCAACATGGATGTGATTGTGTGACTTAAGAATGCTCCCTCCGAGGTAATCTGGCATCTCAACGAAGAACGACAAGAATTTGTTTGAAGCCCGATTTGTTAAGTTATCCGTTGTCGATTTTTTTCCCCCTCTTTCACAGTTTTGCTTGAAAAGATATTTGAGTTAGGGTCCTGACTGTTTGATTGGATGTGACAGTTGGCTCATTTTTGAAAGGACGTCTATTCCATAAGGTGCTACCATGTGGAAAAGCTTGATAGGATGCCAGTGTGAATGTGTGTGTGTAAAACTCACAAGGGGAGTGGTCCAGGGTCAATCAAGCAGAGAGAACCCCCAGTGACGAAATCCACGAGTGAGTGAAGGAGAACAATCTCAGCCTGAAGTTTCTTCGCTTGGGCTCGTGGGGAGGAGTAATTGGTCAATCAGATCCTCGACCTCAAGGCTTCTGATGGCTGATTGAAGGTGTGATTTCTGTTCTGCCCGTCAAAGCCAAAGGGTCATGCCTGCTGAAAAAGGTTGCTAAGAGCCATTTTCAAGGTCTCTGTGCTGGTTTTCTAAGTGAACTCAAACGATAAAAACATTTAACTTGGGGCTTTGCTGTTACAACATGTCAAAGCTGAAATCTTCCAATGGGTTTGGATACAGTCAGCTTGCTATGGTATAAGTTAGGTTAAAAAAAAACAAATACTTCTGAGGCAGCCTTGCCTTGCAACGTCAATCACCTTGAACCCAAGAGTTATGTTTGCCGTCCTGCTGCATTGCAGGTGCTGAGAGTGACATTTGAGCTCTCTGCTCAGCTGCTTGGGTGGAGGAACAAGGTTCTGTAAAGAATGTGACAAACAGAAACAACACATTGTTGTACACAAAGGTTGTGCCTCGTTTTTTTTTTTTCTTGGTCGTACTTTTGAACATTTTTATTCGATTTCCTAGGATTTAATGGCTTTGTTCTACTAAATGAAAGTATAAGTACAGAAATGTAAAGATTTTACCTGGTTTCAAGCCCCAACTTGTGTACTTTTTATAATAGATTGATCACAAAATAGTTAAAAGCTACACTTAGTCTTTACAAAGTGGATTTATTTTCCTTTGCTTCCTCTTTGTGTCAGTCGGAGTGTTGGGCTTAATGGAGACTGAACTCTTGGACAGATTGTGGTTATGCCCTGAGCAGTGCTATGGGAGACACATGTCATGGTGCAAAAGCTTTGTTCTTGGCTTTGTGTGTGGCACAGTTATATCACTAACACTTCACACTGGGAACACAGAGAACAGACTATCTTTGCTTCTGCTTCTCTGAAAATTCTACAGAGAAGGGAGAGTTCCTAAAAAAAAACACCTTAGGGCATTCGCTTTCTCTTTTCTGTGTCCCTTGGCATTGTCTGCACCCTGCCAAATCAGAAGACGAAGCATAGAGAAATGATGGAGGGTGAAAAAAAAAAAAGTCAGTGAGCGGAAAAAGGAGGAGGGTGATGGGTTTGTCTTAGCCTTCATGCACTAGGCAAGCAGATTTAGACTCTAAGTGTCAAATAGAAAAACAGCCATTGTGATCTGGTCCCGCTCACCCCCATGCCACTAGACTTTACAGTCAATAGAGCTAGTCCACTTGTCACCAGGGACAATGCACCCCTTTTCCTCCTTTTCAGCCCTGCCGGGTCCGAGCAGCCAGACAGTTTTCTGAATACAACCCAGTGATTCTTGCCCCCTTTTCTCTGCCTCCCTTTCTCTTGATGGAACACACCAACAGAGCTTTGAAAATGGCTTCACTGTTGGGCCAGAGGGCAAAGCCAGACCTTGTTGTTTTCCTCAACATTGGCAGTCCCTCCACCCCTCTATGCTCACACAGAATTGAATGTATCTTAGGCAGTTGCAAAGTCAAAGGGCCTCAGCAGACAAAGGAGATTAAGTTTGGCAACTTGGCAGTAACAGGTGTACTTTCACTGTGCTTGGACCACACGGGGGGGATTGCTGTTGTCTGACCCGTTGCTCTGTTGGCCTACCCATTTGGACACAGATAAAGACATATTTCTTCACAGTGTTTTCACATCTGATTAAGAATCCAGAACGTCTTGAGTAAGGAGTAACAGCATAATGCTCTTTTATGGTAACTACCCGCATAGTCGAGCCTCGGTATGCTACTACATACAGCCCAGTTTTGCAGTATATCTAATGGTATTTGCAAACTAATGGTGGAATTGATGCAACTACAATTCCACCATTTTAGGAACTGGACTACCTTTATGAGAGAGCCAGTGAAGCCCTTCCTGTCAACACTTTCAGTATATTCAATGAAAATAAATCAAGGCATTCAACAACACTACAAATACACTTTCAGAGCCAGAGCAAAACAGTGCCGGCGTTTGTTTGTTTCAGTCATTAATAAAGCTTTTACTGAGAACCTCAGTCCTCTGTAAAGCCCATTCTGCTGAAATGACTTGGCAAAGCATCCGATAGAGGGTCTGTTCAGACTGGAGCTGCTCTGGTTACCATTGTCTAGCTCTCTCGCGCACACCTACGTGGCCAGAGTAAGCACACAATTTCATTGTTGTGTGAGCTGTTAATATCACCGGCTTTACAATAGAGCCCATTCGCCGTATTTGCATAAGGCACTTTTCCAACAAGGACCCAGAGAGGGCTTGAAAGCTGGCCCACTCCAGTGCCAGTGGCAAAAAAATGTCAAGTGCCAATTAGGAGAGGTTTGCCATCATTCACCAGTACCCCACCCCTGTAGTCCTTTCCCTTCCAGCTTACCAACCTCAACTCTCTCACACTCTAAGTCGCCCCTGTTTCACCACCTCATTCTAGTTTCAGATGTAGCTCTCCTCCTGTGACACCAAAAGAAAAGAGCTTGCTCCCTCTTCCGTTTGCTAATGGAAGAGTCTTTCTACTGGTCTTAGATTATTAGGGAAATGGGTTTCCCTTTTCTAGTTAGTAGGCTTTTTGTGTTGATTATGCTGTAAAATGGGGGTCCATGAACTTTAAAGCTAAACCTGTGAGGTATAGTATCCTCATGTGTGTGAAGTTTGACCCTAGAAAGCTGATTTAATTGTGCCAGCAGGACCTTTCGATTCTCAAGCTTGCATGTGCAGGTGTGGGTTATATAAGACTGTGGCAAAGACAGATGCTGATTCAAAACAATTAAAAATGAAACCCTTTCATCTGATAGCCACATGTGCTGTTATGGTGGTGCTAATAATGTTTAGATAGCTAATAGCTTGCTTTAAGCTTCTCATGCATATTATTTTGCAGCATGCAGACATAAATGCAGCACATCTTATTATAGGAAATGGTATTGCCAGACCATTAAAACTGAGAGTGCTGTCGTAGAGTTAGCTTAGAAGGCTACGTTAGCTTAACTTGATGCTGTTAGTGGTATTAAAGAGCAGTTTATAATTATACAAATGTTGATTATGTAGAAGTATTTCCAGCTGTGCTTGAGTTAGTTTGTCAATTGCATGTGTTGACGTTCATTTCGAATGTCATCTGTGCTCTTGAATTGCAGCGACAGTGTTTTCCGTGCGGGAAGACCTCCTTTGTAGTGGTGATGTTAAAGTATAAATGAAATAATAAAATATATCAGGCACAATTAAAGCTGCTTATTGTGTTGAGAAACAGTTGTTTTCCATTCAATGTTTACCTAATGCAAAGCCTCCTGACACTCCGATGGATATTTCTCTTGTCCTTTTTCCTCTTTCTTTCTTTCATTCAGTCTCTGTGTCGAGTTTTTTTTTTCTTTCCCACCCATGATTCTCAGATGGTTGGATCTGATTTGCATGCATTTGCATAATGAAAGTCATTTGCATGCTCAGGGGCAGACTGTACCATGAGAACAGACATGAAAAGGTGTGTGTGTGTGGGTGTGTGTGCTTGTGCAACTGTGTTTACATGCATGTGTGTGTATTTGCAACTTGGTGCGTATGCTTTTCTAAAACTGTCCATAATTGTTTTGATGGCTTAACTACATTGTTAACATTTACCTGTAACATGCTGTCTGCCTGTTCTCGTCGTAGGGTACCTTTCCACGTAGAGAAAAGATGGCAAGGGAAGACTGAAAACAGAAGAGGAGGAGGGGTTGCTGTTGATTGTGCCCTCCCTCTCTCATCGCCCTCTTCTGCATCGCCTCTTCCCACCTCCTCCTCTTCTCTTTCTCCTCCACTCCATCCTCAGCAGACTGCCCCTTTTTCCTGTACAGCGAAATGCAGCCCACGCCACCATCTTAGAGCAACGCTGGCATAAAATGGAAGTGGGAAGACCAGTCACTGCAGGTAACAAACCAAGCCCCCTGTGCCCGCTGTTGTGTGTTTTCTTGCCATCACCACCCCGACTCTTTATTCAATCATCTTCCGTCATCAAGTACCCCTGGGCTCGTTCGACACTACAAATTTTCACCGATATGTTCGTTAAGGATCCTCGTGAATCACTGATTCTAGGGTAGCGAGAGTGATCTTATCTGGGTGGAGCATGTTTGTATGTGTGCTATAGAACTATGTTCTCAATTCATCTCTCGGGAGGTTCGGGGATTGTCATGCCATCTTTAAGTCTAAACACTAACATGGTGTAAGATACCAATTTCGAAAGACAACATAACCGAGGGTGCAGTCCTTTTAGTGGAGCGGGTTAGGATTTGTAAAATATGTCTTAATTACTGGCCTAAATCATTAATTTGTAGCTGCTAACCTTGAGGGGAAGTTAACCTTTATTCTATCCACCTTAAATAAGTGCAGAAACGATCTGAATGAGGGCTTATGAAAGATGTGAATGTCAATGAGTAAAAATTTATGTTTAATAAAAACAAAGTTGGAAGATATTAGAGGATGAAAAAAAAAAAAGACCCCAGATTTTTGGCAGAACAGAAAACTTGAAAAACTCTTTAATGGAAAAAAGTAACCAGTACTTGAGTCCTATGATGGCTCAAACAAGTTGTACATTGTTTTCCATGCGCAGAATTTAATTTTTTTTGGTAATGCAACTCAACTTTAGATAAAGCTTATGAGCTGGACTCTTCTGAGTAATGTAGATATTTAACAATGTCCATCTTTGTCACGGTTGTGGAGAAACTTGCCTTTTTCTTTGTATCTATAATGTGGAGATCAGGTTAGGGATTATTGGTGCTAATCTCGCGTCAAAATGGCTACATCGCTTTGACAGTAAGAGTGGGACTGAATCAAGCTGAAGAGGAAAAGACAGCACCTACTAACACATTTTGCAAACTTCCTTGACTGAGTTTACTAAATGTTAGACCAAATATTTGATGAAAGCAACCCTCAAATGAGGTCATGCTAAGCTTTTTGGATTAGAATTTTTGACGAGGCAGCTTCTCTAGGGTTGCTTGGCTTTGCTGATAAGTTTGGTGGTAACTGTGTCAAACCGAGTGCACTAATCACTGCCTCCATAAACAGGTGGTAGATTGAGCAAAAGGGGCAGGGGCACTTCTCAATTTACTGTGTAAATTATGCAGAGCCCAAAACAATGCAAACAGTAGACAGTGGAGTGGCTGGCGTTGGCTAATGAGATGATGAGAAGCCTGGGAGGCCCGTGAGTTGATTGAGGAGAGGGGGTGGGCACAGCCAGCAGCTTGTGTCTGGATCCTTGTTGGTGTGTGTGTGTGTGTGAGAGGGTCTAGGGCAGCTTTGGCAGGGTGCAGACAGTATTCTGTCTGCATCAACCCCACCGTCAACCCCTCCTGCCCAGACTGAGTGCTATAGAAGGAGGGGAGGGTTTGCAGGCAGCTGGGGCACCCAACCCCCATTGCTTCAGCAATAGCACCAGCTTTGGGAAACTCTGTGTCAGGGGTCTCCCGAACACTGGCACGTAGAGGCCCCTGAAAAGTCTGGCTATAACACCACCCCCTCCCATCACCACCATCCTCTCCTTCCTCTTGTCTCCTCAAACATCACCACCCCTTCCATCCTAATGTGAGGCTGGGGGCCTGGGAAGGACTTCAAGTTCATGGCCAGACCTCCTATTGAGCTGACAGCCCGACTGTTTGCTCAATTCGGCTCCCTATTCAGAGTCATGCTGGAAGGGGGGCTGTAGAGAAAGGCAAGAGGATGCAGGGGGGTTGTTGCTAGATGGGACACCATGGCACTGTGATGGCTATTCATTCGGTAAGGGGAGACAAGCAAAGAGCAAGCGAGAGTGAAGAGGAATGGGGGGGTACGTAGATAAAAAGTGGGGAATCTAGGCGCAAAGTTTGCTTTGAAGGGTGTGTGCCTCTCTCACACCCTTTAAGACCCTTAATTACCCGCGCCTTCCACTTTTCTCCCCTCTTTCTCTGACTGCACCCCACTCCCCAATCCACAAACACTCATGAAGACACACAAAATAGCAATGACAATCATTCTCATCATCCTCTCTATCCCCTTGATTTCATTAGGCCACATGCTGAGGCTGTAAATTTACCATTAACAAGCTTATCCACTGTAGTCCTCTCAACAAAGCAAGACTGTGATGCCAATAACTTAAAGCGACACCAATACCCAAAACTGCCTTTTATTCCACCACTCTCCACTTTCAGCGCCTCCTCCCTCACCTCCGTTTTCTTCACCGCTGCGCTTCAAGCAGAACTGCAGCATTAAAAATGCCAGAGCTTGCATGACGCATGCTAATAGCTCAGGTGATGTTGATTAGCACTATTAGTGTTGATCTCTACCGATAATCTGAGCAACTATGTACGTTTCTTGATTCTAAACTTGGTCACCCTCTGTAATATTTTAAGTTGCTTGTCTGAGCTGCATGAAAATGAAACAAAAATGTGGATTTCATAGCTTTCTGAAGTCCGAGTCAGCCTAGCTTACGGTTTGTCACATGTTTCTTCTTTGTATTAGCAGCTTGCAGCGTACCAGGCTCCTGCTAAGGCCTTTTAACTTTAGTCTCAATCCTCTCAGCTGTTTTTTTTCTGAACCTCAGCCAGATCCAGGTCACACAATGAATAACCCAAAATAAGTGATTTTTTTTCCATGTTAAAAGAAAAGAAAAGTAATTTTTCAAATCTCAAAAATAGGAATTGATTGTAATGTATATAATAAACAATTGTTTTGACATTCACTATTGTTCATCTATGCTTTGACTACCTCAGATAAATCAAAGCTGCATCCTAATGTTACTTCTTCTCTTCACAGATAAACATTGGTGGTTGGGGGCTCCAAAATGAACAAAACACACAATGGGGAGACGGCTCGCTGCCGCACAGCTGCTGTAAACAAGGATGCTGCGTTCTCCAAACAACCTCACCGTTTGCCCGTCTGTGGCACATCGAGACCCACCTGGACTTTTTAGCTGCAAGAATATTATTGTGAACTGTGGCTTTTTGCAAAACAGAAAAAATATATAGAAATACAAATATATGTATATATAAATATATATATGTGTGTGTATAATTTAGTACATTTTATTTTTTTCATTCTCTGATTGAGTTTCATACTATTATCGTGTATAACACTGTAAATACAACAATTGAATAGAGCGGTATTATTTTTTTTTATAACATTTAGTCTCTCCCTGTTTAGGTTATTTTTAATTTGATTATAAGCCCTTGTTTATGTTCAGATTTCTATTTTGTTTTAGTTGCTAGGACTCAAAAGACACGTGAATGTGAGACCCACGACAGCAGTGAATAATACTGCACTGCGATTGGACAGCTCCGTGTGTCGGCTGACACAATGGCGAAGGAGAGAGCTGTCGTCTTTATACTCTATGCAACTGTTCTGTCTGTTTTGATTATGTTTATGGCAGAGCCTCTTTTATCTATGTTTTGAATTTTTCGTTTATGGGCTAACAAACTACCGACATCCTTTAATACACTGTTAAGCCAATTTTGCTTCCTCCAGAACCCACATTTGTGTTCGAAATATACAAGAAAAAAATAGAGAAATAGAGGAAGGCTATCCGTATGTGTCTTAAGTGATTGCTAATTATATTTATAGCCCCCCCCCCCACCGTTCCTTAAATCCGACTGTGAATAAATATGGACTCAAACATTCCTGATGGCAGTAGTGTGTTTGATCAGCAGGAATTAAAACAATGCTGCAGCATGCATGCTTCCTCTGAGACACATTAACTTGCCTCATAACAGTTACCTGCTCTGCTGTAACAATACATCTTTAGGTAAGACACGACAAATACATAGACTTCAAACACTGCCTTAATTTCCTCTTCACACACAAATGCACACACACCCCCACACACACAAACGCACAAAGCCCCCCGTGCAATAAGACAAGTACCATTATGGCTTAATTCATTTTACATTAATTTTAGGGAAGTGGATTTTTAATTTTTTTATTATTATGATTGATAATCTATGCAAATCTTTTAAAGTATTACTTTAAACAATCTATGCACTGCTTCTCTGCTCTTGCGTTTGATTCAAAGGAGACTATCTTGGCCTAATTTAGACAATGTATTCTTTTGATAATCATGCACATCCTGGTGCTCGAGACAATTACTTATCTGCCTGGATAAGCTTGAAATTATGTTTTTAATCTTTTGCAAAAAAGTCTTTCTTCCGATATCAGTTGAGAGGCATGAAAACCGTGATTTCTGGTGTGAAATAATTAAATCAGTGTCAGAAAATATCCTCTTTTCCTTTAAATGTAGATTAAATATTTCTGTTTAGCTTTGTCTGCTTATTAGTTTTATATAAGGAATGATATTTGTATTATGCAACCTGTGATTGAGTGCTCACCACATGTGCCTTTTTATACAAATATGTATTAGAATAGTAATAAAGGTTTACATTGAAAACAGGAAAAACACTGCGTTGTGGTTGTTTTTGTCTACAGTATATGCCTTGCATATCAGTAACAGGCAGACCATTTAGAGAGAAAAGGTTGTGTGTTTTAGCAGCAGTTCGTTGTCATTACTGTAGATCTCGACTCATCACTGAGCTTGGTCAGGATGCTGCATTGAATGGATGCAAAATGCTGTTTCTTGCATGAAGATAGTATTTACTCTAAATAAGTAGCTGATTTTATTTTATTTTTTTGCATCTTTTTCAAACTAAGCTGTTTTTGCCTCGGCAACGTGTTTCAGTCAAAGATAAATATCAATATCAAAAAATCCTCAGAGATTAATTTATTTTCAAAATGTGAGGGATTTAAATATTTTTGTTGTGATTAGCTTCCAGCTAACAGTTCGCTGGAAGATAGCAGAGATATGCCCCTTATTTAGCGTAGAAATTAATCAGTGCAAAGCTGCTCTCTGTAGTAGCCCGTGAGAATCCTGACCCCCTTGTTGTTATGTAAATGAATAATGAGCTCATATGCATCAGCACACAGGCTATTAACTTAGAGGAAGAATAAAGAACAGTAGCACTCATCCTTGATTGTAATGATGTGTGTGCAGCATGGCTGCCGTGCAGACCTCCATGTGTCATGCAAAAACACTTCTCCTGCATGGTTTTCTGTCTGACACCACATATGGTGAATGTGCCAGCATCAACATATGGTACCCTCACAATTCATTAACATTGTCATGTAAAAAAGGGTAATCCCACTGTAAAACAAATGAAAATGAACCCCGTTTACAGTGCTGCTCCTTTTATTCATTTCCCGCTCTTTTATGAAGTCTCTGCTAATTTAATCAACGAAGCTTTTAACGGAGCTCCGACACACCCTTCTGGGTGTCTGCATCCTTCGTTTGTAGCAGTGGTAGCTTTACAAGGCGCTCTCCATTTGTTTACAGCTACGCTGCACGTTCAAATGAGCTGTTGTACATATAAACACTAACCCCCCCCCGCGCAAATATTACAGTGCCCTTATTAACCAGGGCAAGATGCAATTACATTATGTTGCAGGCGTTAACATCCTGAAATTGGTGCTGGTCCTTGGTGACAACTCCACTCACCCTCAGTGTTTCTTGGCTGTATTGTGGCTCATAATCTGATTCACAGTTTTTGTCATGCTGCCAAGGCGCAAGTCACATTAGCCAAGTGCTATAGGCCCTAATGAACTGAGTGCCAATGTTAAGCACACTTGAACAAGCCAGAGTGATGGGGTACAACTGGGCTGTCATTTGCAGCCATGTTATATCACCACCTAGCTGTCTTTGTATCTGGGTAAAAAGCAAAACCTATTTAATACTTTTAGCCCCAGACTGTTGGCATCCTTCAGTCTGTAAGTCCTGCTTTTAGAAAGAAGCTGTCAAAGAGCCAAAGCATGACATGATACATAAAATGGCCGCCTGTGACAATAGATCATGGGACTGAAGATCTTGGTGCAAAGATAAGGCTGACCGATGTTAATAAATGGCCACTATGTACTTTGATGTATGAACTAACAAGGCAAGGTGGCAGGGGGGCGTCTCAAGTGGGAAATGGAGGGTCCTGGTGCATGTCCAAGGTCTAAGATCTCGGGAGCTCCTCCTTTCACAAGATCTTTACAATTAACGCCGGTATGCAGCAATGCTTCCTTATAGGAGGCAATTCTTTGTGATTTAGGAGGGAAATGTGTGCCGCCAGTCGCTATGACAGAGGACGTGTCTCCCGCTGGATCAGACAACTGCATTGGCAGCACTACACAAGAGTTGGCATCTATCCAGATATAGGCCATCAATGTTTGTAAGCTGCCTCATGGTTTCCACTCTATTCTGCTAGCAAAGAAGAATGGTCTCTGAAGAATTTAAGGACGTTAAACTGCCAAACACATAGAATAAATAAACAAACAGACAAACATATGTGTTTATTTGGAAAAGTAGGCTTGTATGTTGCAGATAGGTTAGCATTGGCTTCCAGGAATGTTATTCTTTCATTATCAATTCAGGGGGAAATGCATCTTACTTAGAAATGCCGTTAATTTGTTCTATTGTACTGCTTTGGTCATATAGTGCCACTTAACATTGTCATTTTAAATTATGTTAGCATCATATGATAAAAAAGAGTAACGTAGTAATAATGTTGTCATGTTGGTTTTTAGTTTTTTTTTAACCCAAATGCAGAATCCCCAGAACCACCAAATTTTAACATTTTATTTAGAAAAACAACAAGAATCTGGAAGCGGAGAACTGCAGGAAGTCAGCTGAAGATTCTGGTTAGTCAGAGGGGAGAAAGCAGGAAGAGGTTGGTCGATGATGGTTGATGACTGATATGCTTACTTAAGAGATGAATGGCAGGTAGCGTGGATAGAGAGATGATGCTTCATGTTCTTATATACATGCTACTAATCTTGATTGAAAAATGTTCTCAGGTGTGCAGCAACACGGGTCGGCCCAGCCACTAGTAAAGATCTAGAGACCCAAACATTAATCTCCCTTCA